AGTACTGGCTACTCGGTCAATGAATGCCAAATGTTTCCTTATAAGGAAACACCTAATATTACAATTACCATTAGAGATGAGAAAAACAGATACTACACTTTGATCCCAGTCCGATGACCAGAGAGTGAAGAAAAACATCTCGAGTATCAAATTTTTACCTTCCAAATCATTTTTATTTTAAACTTTTTACATTTAACTGAATCTTAATATATCTTACAAATCTGTGTACAATATTTCTGTTTTTTGATTGCTGTGTGATGGTTGATGTTTCTTTGTCACGAGATTAGCAATGTCATCTTCAGTATATGACATGTTAAGTCTCAAGTCATGTTCCGCATTCAGTGAGTAGATCCGTCGCAGAACTTTGGCTGTAGTGTGTCCAATTTGCGACAGAGCTTCCATCCAAGCTGGCGTCAGGTTTATTGCCAAGTTTGTTTAATCTAATTTTAAAATCATGGTATTAATTTAAATTTCCACTTATGGAGCCCTGACTATTATCTGACGGACACCATCTGTCCAAAGACACAATTCTCAGACAAAGGAAACTTACTCAAATATTTATTAGAAACACAATCTCTGTCCAATAATGTCTGGTACATTCAGTGTATGAAATGTGTATGGAAATGTACCAACTATTATGGGACAGTCTCATTGTACTGCAGTTTTTTAAGAACATGAAAAATTTGGGGACTCTAAAAAAAATTAAGTATTTTGATTTTAAAATATATATATATATATATATATATATATATATATATATATATATATATATATATATATAGAGAGAGAGAGAGAGAGAGAGAGAGAGAGAATTAGGCATGTGGCTGAGTAGTTAGTATGTTTGCTTTCCAAACATGAGACCTGGGTTCAAATCGCACTATGGTCAATTTGTCAAGAAGGCGACTTCTAGATGTTATCAGCTTGTAGAGGTGATCCCAGCAAGCGGCATCTTTGGAAAGTGCCTGAAAAGAAAAAAACATACCATGGATTGACCCAAGCCTTGGGAATGAAACTGGATAGATGGAACTGTTTGGAATCCATCGCTGGTTGAGCTAGTGTAGAGTCACCAGTCACCAGGGTTTTGAACGTACTGGCCTTGTTAAGAGTGCTGAGCATGCCAGATAATGCGCTCTCTCCCAGAAATTATAACTAAGGTCTGCTCAATTGCAGCATAAACTACAGGAGAGCTCTGTGAACAAACACAAACGTGCCTGAGCAGGCGTCTGCAATAGGGATTAGCTAGCAGACAAGCATAAAGCCAGCCATTACTACTATTCCCCAAATCTGCAATTAGAGTTGTAATCCTGGGTGATAGTATCAGGAAGGAACATTTTGGTCCTAGGTATAGCATATATGGTGATTAGGCAGACATGCTGATATATATATATATATATATATATATATATACATATATATATAATCCCATCAGTTTTGATGGGTAATATGCTAGTAATCATAATAATGAGAGTATATAATGATAAGGGAGGGGATAATTCATGAAGTCTAGAAATAAAGATAAGGTGATATATCTGCTGGAACTTTTGATATGAAAGGAGATGGAAACACTTGTATTAGTCTAAATTGTAACCCTGACTTCAGAAAAAAATGTGACGGAAAAATTGGGATGGTTCCACTAGCAGATAGTAGAAAAGCTTTTTGTCACTGGCTACACACCTCGTCAAAAACCAACATCTTCTACCAAAGACATCAACCTGTGTGCTTCATAAAATGTACTTTATTCTTCTTGGTCTGTCAGGAATTTAAAAAAAAAATGGTTACATGACAGTTTTTCGAAAGGAGGAAGTCTTGTGTACCAGAAATCTTTTCATGAAGATTCCTCTCCTATGTTATTGTATTCTTCATTATGTTTTCAATGTCATTAAAAAAAAAAAATCCCAAAAAATAAAAAAATCAGAAGTTAAAAAAAAAACAAAAAACGAAAAGTGAGATGTGGGGGTGGGGGTGAAATGGATGGGCAGGGTAGGGAAGAAAAACGAGAAAATTTTTACTTTTTTTCATTTCAATTTTTTTTTTTAAATTCGTAAATATTTCGTGGCAGGATGATTTTTTTTTTTTTTTTCCTTTTTTTTTGTACTCCATTTCTGTTTTTTTTTCTTTGTTTTTTTTACTTCTTGAGTTTTTCATAAGCTTTCAATTTTAATATTTTTCTAAGCAAAAACAGACAAAAATATATATATAAAAAAAAAAAGAATGAAAACAAAAAAAAAGCAAGGGAGGGAGTTGGGAAATGGGGCAGGCATTTCAAGGGGGGGTTGGTAGGAAAGGTGAAATCAAAATTTTAAAAAATCCCATATTATGTAAATGAATTCTATTTTTAATTCTTTTTTTTCATTGTTTTTTAATTTTTTTTCTGTAAATCTTGAATTTTAATTTTTAATTTTTTTAAATTTTTTTTTTTTTTTTTTTACTCGAAAGTTTTTTTTTGTTTGTTTCAAATGTAATTTTTTTTTTTCGAACATTTTTATTTTTGTCTATTTTTTTTTTTATCTATCACAGTATTTAGCCAACAAGTTTGCTCTCACTACGAACGGGTGGGGAAGAGCCGTGATACATGTTAGTTTATGTTGGAAATCTTGAGAAAAAAAGGAAAAAAAAAAAAAAATGGGTCCAACTTTTGTATAATTGCTTGTGTGGGTATCAGAAGTACTTTTTCTGTTTTTTTTTTTTTTGCTTTTCCCACAAATTTAGTTTCTTTTGTTTGCTTGTTTTGTTTTCACATATTCATAATTTTTCATGAATTTTTTTTTCCCATCATTATCATCAACATCATTAGAATCATCAAAATGACATTTTTTTTTTAAAAAATTGTTTTTTTTTTTTAATCCATATTTATAAATCTTTTTAGTCTGTCATTTTTTTTTTTTTTCATTATCGGAGGGTTTATCGAGTTTTCAGATTTTGATAAATTCCTTTTTTTTTTTCTTCTTCTGGGGTGTTTCTCATAAATCTTATTCTCTCTGTTTACTTCCATTTTTTCCTTTTTTCATTCAAGCATTTTACCATTCCATTGTCTCTGATATCCAAACATTCTGTCCTTTCAGAATTTAGTCTCAGACATTCTTAAGTAAAGCAGTTTTTGCAGGTTATATATATATATATATATATATATATATATATATATATATACATATATGTGTGTGTGTTTATGTATTATAGATTATATTTATTTTGACATTTTCATTTAAAAAACAACTTATTCATCTTGTTTAAAAAAAATTATTTTTACCGTTTTTTTATGTTGCCCACGTTATAGCAATCAACGATTTTATCATTTTAAACAAATTTAATATACATGTTCTTTTTCATCACCAAAATGCTTCTTTTTTTAGTTCTTTTCCCTTCATCCATCCACTTTGAGGGAAGAAACTAACAATTTTAGACATTTGAAGATAGCATATATATATATATATGTATATATATATATATATATATAAATCCTGGCATGTGTAGGACTTGGGTTTTCTTTCTTAACTTCAGCCTACAAACTACAAAAGTAGGCAGGTGTATATTAACATGAAAAACAAGGAAATAGTAAAATGGTATCTGCATTCTTCTTTGAGGAAGTGGATAAAAAGGATTGAACTCTTTATTTTTCGGTCCTTTTAATATGCGAATTTGACATTAAGATGCAAATCTGAGAGCAGCAGAAAATAAATTTAAATAACCAGATTTTAAAAAAAACTGAATGAAGTTTTTTTTTCACTCTTTTTTTTTTTTTTTTAGACTCTTTGCAATAACGAAATATCAGCTTTTTTTTTTTCTTCTTTTTGTTTTCCTTTTCGGATAGGTCAGTCTTTTTGGTCTTGTTTAAAAAAAAAAATCAATTATTTTTTTCAGTTTGTTCAATATAATTATCTGGTTCTTTTCGTGGTTATACCTCCCCATTAAAATTTTTGTTCTGTCTCATCATCGATTAAAAAACATTTACATCAATGGTACAGAAGTTGGCATCGAAGAATTTTTGTCATTTTGAAATTAGTTCCAAGAAACTTTAAACTTTTTCTTTCTTCGTTTCCTTTCTTTTTCTTTTTCTTTTCATTTTTTGATAAGAGGCTATTGTGTGATAAATATTTTTTTCTTATATTCTGTCTTTATCTATGTCCGTAATCAAGGCTTTTATTTCTTCATAAAGATTTCGATCATTCTATTACCACAGTAGCATCTTATTATAAAAGCAACCTTGACTAAATAGCAAATGAAGGCTTTTAAGGTGCCAGTCAGCTTTCTTCGTTTGTTGCCCAACAGAAAGACAAGACACAGATACAAAAACAGTGGGAGGCTGGGCCACACCCTTATAAAGTACAAATTTGTTTTTTCATTGTTTTTTTTTTTTTGCTTTTTTTTATATCACTGTTTATTTTAGTTTGATAACATTTTTAATAATAATAATAATAATAAAAATAATAATGATGTCTTCCATTTCATCTGTAAATGAAGTAATTATTAGTGGACATCAAAGTTTAAATAAAATTTTAAAACAATGTAGAAAGCTCCCTGTATCCCCCCTGTCTAAATATTCCTTGCCCAAGTGATTATGTGGGAACTTATCTACTAGCCAGTTGTAACAAATATGTCTTGTAAAATTAACAGAAATCATTAAAAAAAGCTGTATAATAATTTTCATGGTAACAGCAGCAGCAGCTTCCAAAAATTTAGTAGAAGTGAATAAAAAAAATACCCATAATTCTTATTTCCTGGGTAAATTCTTTATATTATTTTTTCCTTTTCAAATTTATATTCTTTTTAATATGTTCTTTTCATTTTATTCATATATATATATATATATATATATATATATATATTTATATATATATATATGTATAAATTTATATATGTTAACTTATATTTATTCTTTGTTCACCCCATTATTATATTTTTTTTTCTGTATTGTGTCGACTTCAGTTAAGACTGTCAATGTGTTAGATCTGAATTAAATACAATCATCTGGTCGCAGCTGGTGTGGGTGGAGTGCCCGGACATCATATGATACCTGGGATACCTGACTCGTAGGTCACTCGTGTGGTCATTGGGTCATAGGAGCCAGCCAGGAAATAAATATCTTCGCAATCATCCATTTTGTTATTGTCCTCAAACTTTCGGCTACGGAAATCAGCAATGGAAAGCACTTCACACTTATGTGAGATGGTTTGCACGTCGTTCTCATCGACATGGGTCGATTGAAATAAAGCTCCCTGAAATTTAAAAAGAGGAAAGAAGAAAAATTCATAAATGGAGTTAAAAAAGCAAAGTTGAAAATCTGTACGTTTACTTCATTTTGTGTTTTTTGATCAAAACAATAAACAATTTTTCTTTGACAATGTTTATCAGTCTTTTAGGAACATTATTATTATCTATAATAATAAAGTGGAGTGTATGTGTGTTCATCTGTCCAGAAGAAAAGTCACAGTATTTAATAATGTCTGACAATGTATCGACATTATGTCTATCTTCTTCAAATTATGTTTCATTTCATGTTTTTTGATCAAAACAATTTTTCTTTGACAATGTTTATCAGTCTTGTAGGAACATTATTATTATCTATAATAATAAAGAGCAGTGTACATGTTCATCTGTCCAAAAGGAAAACCACAGTATTTAATAATGTCTGACAATGTTTCAATATTATGTCTATCTCCTTCAAATTATGTTTAAGAAATGCATACAAGTATGGAAATATATGAAAAAAAAATACATGTCTTTGTACAAATGCTACTAGTCTTGAGAAAAATGGTTGTAATGATACGCAATGCAACAAAGCAAGTGAAATGCAGCTTGTATGAATGGAATGCAACTGAAACAGAAGTAACATGATAGGGGATATGCTCATCTTGAAATTTTCTGCCAGTTGATTAGTTGGCAGGAGCAATTAATTAAATAGTTTGTTAAAACAGGACCTTGCTCAATAAACCAAGTGATAGCACTGAGGAGAAATTTTAGTGAACTTAAATAATGGCTAAAAGTTAAGTCCATTTTGGCAGGAAGGGAGACAAGCCTGCTAGTGCCATTGCTTAGAACTCATCCATTAAGTTGAGGAGTGGGAGTCTAATTACAGAAATCTGTTAGCCAAGGATGGTGAGTTCAATCTTAGGTAGGACAACATGAGTCAGCATAGTTAACAGTTTAGTTTAAATCGCATATGACCCTCCTGTTATTTTCTTCCTTCCTTCAAGGATGGAATGGTAGTAATTTGCATATGTACTTATCTTAATGTATTTTAAGAGTTGAAAGATCGATGGATTCTGGATATTTTTTTAGAATGCATATCTTAATATGTTCGTTGAAGCTACATTAGATTATGATAAAATGTCAATTTCTGTTGAGGTTTCTTTGCTGTATTCTTCAGGGCAGCTGAACTACCAAAAAGGTGCTCAATATATAACTAGAGCTATAACATTAAAAAAAAAATCAAGAGATAAAAATTATCAGGCCTCATATCAAAAAACAATGTTGCGATGTTCCGAGAGTTATAAATATGAGATTTATGAAACATCTGATCCCATATATATATATGTGAATAAAGATACATACATACATATATATATATATATATATATATATATATATATATTATATATATTTAAATTATATGGTTTTTTGCTACACAGTTCTAACCATGTTTCAATGAAGCTAAAAAGCCAAATTTACCCAAAGTTAAAGACATTAATTTCATCCTGAGGATGAAATGGACTCTAATGTCTTTAATTTAATCACAAAATTAAATTCGTGGCTTTTAGCTTCCATTTTTGAAACATGGTTAGAACTGTGTAGCGGAAAAAACCATATTTTAAATCAAATAATTTATAATATTAATGCTCTGTAAATTTACATTGACCACTATTTTGTAAAAAATAAAATATCTATAAGAACACCGGATTATATATCTTGTTGTTCTTTTTTATTTATATATATATATATATATATATATATATATATATATATATATATATATATATATATATATATATATATATATATATATATACATATTTCCTTTTGTCTTTATTCATTTTGTCCTTTTAAAGATATATTCTATCTGAAATGTTTACACACACATACACTATATACTATATATATATATATATATATATATATATATATATATATAATGTGCATGTGGATATTCTTGCTTTTTATAAATATAGATATATTTGTTGGATACTGACCTTCAAATTAAGAAGATTTTTGCCATCTTTAGTTTCCTCAGGATGATAGAACCATTTCACTTTGACAACCATATTTCCTCCCCATCCTTCCCAAAGACTTTCAATGCTGCCTACATATGGCAAGTGGGGGCGCCCGGTGGACAAGAACACAGCACAGTCACCGACCTGAAAGATGTGTATAAAAATAACAGCATTACAACTGAAAATGAAACAAAACTGAAGATAATCTTCCCAACATTACAACAGACTAGTGTAAGGCTAATTAACACTAGCAGAAAGACAGATAAAAGAACCTTACATATATTAAGCTGAGAGATCAGGCCAAGGCATGGAGGGATGGTGAGAGTACAGATAACAAATTCCTATTACAGATACCTGCTCAACCGACTGAGTTCATGTGTGGTTTTATACTGTAATTATGCTGAGCAGACCTTAGTTACAATTTCTGAGAGTGAATCTGGCATGATCAATTTTTTGAATGAGGCCAGCATGTTCAGACCTGTGGTCATTGATGGCTTTACCCAAATACACTCACAAGGCTTCAGGCAACCTGCAGTCTTGTTTTCAAGCACCTCCCAATCATGAGTATGTGCAGTTACCTCAACAGAATCATTACTTTTGTCCGATGTTGTCTTAAAGGACGAAATGTGTCATATGTTACGTGTTGATAATTGTAACAAAGAAAAAAAAATAATTTACCACAACACAGGGCTAAATCACAAACAAATATTTAATTTACTAAAACAGAACATAAAATATATACAGGATAAACAATTGTGGCCTACAAAACAGAAAACACAGAGTTACTGGCGAAGTGTTACGAGGGAGAAGGAAAGGGAGTCAAATATCTTTATCACTTTAGGGCTAGTGAAGTAATCTAGGTGCTATATTTGGAAATCCACAAAGGTGTGTAAATAAATATAAATTTTTACTTTGGTCAATGAAAATTAGTCAAAATTCTATTTACCAAATTTGTTCCATGAAATTCTCTTTTGGGTTTTGGTTGGTCGGCAACTTTTTATAGAGATTCTTTCGGCTGGATATAATAGTCCTTGAATCAAAAGCCGGAGTTGATAACAGCAGAAATTCTCATTCATCAACTGACAACCCTTTTCCAAAATCCCATTTTTATAGGGGCTAACACCTAATTTGCATATTTCTAGATGTTTCTCGAATCATCTAGATTTTTCTTGAATATACTAGAATGATCTAGAATCTTCTAAACATTCTATTTCTAATTTCTCTATTTTACAACTACTTCACGAATGAAAACTTTTTTTGTAATAACAAGTAGAACTCAGTGGAATCCCTTATTATAGAAATGCATCCTCGTAACACATACAAAAAAATATTTATATCATTTTCTCCCATACTTAATGAATGAATAAACTATGAAACTCTGAGTACTATAAACATAGGTATATGTGTAATTATTAATATAATAGAGAGTGTCTAAAAACTGTCTAAAGGATTTATGGATCCAAGTGCTTTCACTTAATCTATCAAGGATGTTTTTTTTTGTTTAACTGAAAGTGTAGATATTTTGTTTTGTTTTATATGTATATATAGGGATGGGGGAATGTTTTTAATTTCCAAACACAATCAGCATGTTGTGACTGTGTTCATAATTGATATTGTTGTAGGCTGGTTTCCTTTTTTATTATCAAGGCTTCAATTATGATTAACCATTTGTTACAAAAAGATAAAGAATGGAAACATTAATGATAATTATAAACATGGCCACAACAACATGCTGATCATGTTTAGAAATTAAACATTGCACACTGCTTGTTGTATGCATATGTTATAGTTTCTCTGTGTGGGACAAATTAGCAACAAGTTTGGAAATAAAAAACATTTCACACTGCTTATTGTATGCATATGTTATAGTTTCTCTGTGTGGGACAAATTAGCAACAAGCTAGGAAATAAAAACATCTTAAACTGCTTGCTGTATGCATATGTTATAGTTTCTCTGTGTGGGACAAATTAGCAACAAGTTTGGAAATAAAAAACATTTCACACTGCTTATTGTATGCATATGTTATAGTTTCTCTGTGTGGGACAAGTTAGCAACAAGCTAGGAAATAAAAACATCTCAAACTGCTTGCTGTATGCATATGTTATAGTTTCTCTGTGTGGGACAAATTAGTGACTTTGGTATGAAAAATCTCCTTGAGAACAATGCATGTCTGTCATTCCTTTCGTTCAGTTATGTTGTTCCATCTGTTGCATTAAGGTGCTGATATATCATGGATATACTAATGCCTATAATAGGGGAATACAAACTGGAAATATTCTATCTTGTATAGTACACTCATTAGACAGATATATTAATAATCAAATAGTAACATGATTTGGGTTCAATAGGGGAAGTCAAGCATTAAAATCAGAATAATTCATATAGACAAGAACAATTTAACACTGCCAAATGTATTAGATACCATAATAAAAGTATTACATACCATAATAGTTTCCTTTTCTCGTACAATTGCTTTGTAGAATTCTTTCTTAGCTTTGCCTTTCATTCCAGGCCGTTTTGTACTCTTTCCAGACCAGCGCCACAGCTGCCTGGCAGGTAGAAATGCTGTAAGAAAAAGGAATGATGGAAACGTTTTAAAAATAAAGCAAAAATACTTAGCTTTGACTCTTGGAGAGTGTTCAAAAGTGTATTAATGACAAAAAGCCAAATAATAAATTAATTCTTTAAGAAAAGAAACTTGGAATGGAAGCAAAAAGCCTGTATCAAATATGTGAATTAAAGCTCCCCAATTCCTTTAAGACATTGGTGAGCAGTCAGTGGAATATGGTATGTTTTGTCTATTACATGTAATTCTTCAGAAATATCCCTATGCTTAAAGAACCTACTTCAGCAAATGGATTTAATACCTTTCATTGACCAAAGTGACTGGAATAAAATTCTTTAATTTAAGCATGAGATAAATAACATGTTATCTGAATTTGATTTGTCGACTAATGCAAGTAATAAAATCATTAATTAAACAGTGTGTTTTTGGATATTATATTCTTGAAAAATAAATTTACCGTATATACGCATGTATTTGAGGTCAGTTATTTTGCCGATTTTCACCGATTTCAACATCTATATAAAAACAGTGCTAAAATATCTGAAGCGATTGATTTACAATGAAACACTGTTTTTACTTAGATTTTACAAGCATTTGGCAAAATATCTTTAATACTCACAGTTTTTATTTATGGTTTCATTTGAACACCTTTTTTTAAAATAATGTTCACACTGTAAAAGACCCAAGAGACACACAAGGTAGAGGGTTACAGAGTAAGAGGCACACTTTCTGCTGATATGTGGGAAAGATAGCAGTTAACCCTAGACTTGAACATGTTAAGATCAGTGATCAGGGAAGCATCCTCTTGGGAGTTGGTTCCACAAAGCAGCATTCATGGTAAGAAGTTACTCAAGTGGAACATCTCACCAACGGAACATGACGGGAAGGGGTGCTATGTAAAAATATTATAAATTCAATATTTGTGCTTTTAATGATTGTGAATTTTATTTTAAGTTTTTCTCAAACAAACTTTATTTTCTGATTTACAATATATGGGGATCTAATACTTCCATATATATATATATATATGTGTGTGTGTGTGTGTGCGTGTATATACATATATGAAGAAATATAGTTTTAAGGTGTGCTATAATTATGGGCTAAAGTGCTCAATATCAGAGATAGAGCGTATGTAAATATAAATTTAACTGTCTGATATATTTCAATTGAGTACTGTTGAGTGATAAGTTAATTCTATAAACAACAGCCACCTGCGTTAATGCAAAGCTCTTCAGTAAAATAAATTGGAGCACTCTGGCTGATTGGCATTTTTTTCATTTGTAAAAACAATATGCTAGATTTAGTTGTTTCTCTCTGTCGATTGAAGATAGCTTAGTGGTAGAAGCTCTGACTGATCGGTTGGGTTTCAATCTGGGTTTGAATGCGAATGACATATATATATATATATATATATATATGTGTGTGTGTGAAAATATATAGAAAATAGGAAAGAACTAGTTAGGTAAATAATCCAAAGTATTTACTTAGTATTTTAGTTATTATTTTTTAAAAATAGTGCTCAATACAAAGGTAGAGCATAAATATAATTATTTATTTAAAAATAAGATTCCAACTCGCGACATAAGAGGTCTCGTGTTTCAAAACAAGAACCGAAAACTTCAATATAATTATTTGAACTAAATTGAGTTAAAGTAAGCTATATATATATATATATATATATATATATATATATATATATATATATATATATATATATATATAATAACAGGATTGACTTATATTTAGATCTACATGAGTATATACGGTAATGTTTATGATATTTGAAAATGAAATGGAAAGATGATATTGAATCAAGTGCAAGGTCAGTTCCTAGGAAAGTTAACTCACTAAGTCATACTTGACAATTTTTCTCATCAGATCCTATCCTTTATAATTCTACTATTTGTCCCTGCATTGAATATTGATGCCACATATGGTCTGGTGTTCCTGCTATATATTTAGAGATTCTCGATAAAATCCAGAGAAGAATCATTGGTCCTGACCTGGCATCTCGGCTTCAGTCACTTTCCCACCAGCATAATGTAACTTCACTGTGACTTTTTCTATAAGTATTTTCATGGTAATTGTTCTAATAAACTTTTCCTTTTGGTATCTAGACTTTATAAATTTAAGTGCATTACTAGATTGGCTGCTACGTCTCATCATTTCCTTGTTGAAATGGCTAGATGTAACCATAAATTCTATGCTAACAGTTTCTTCTTTCATACTTCTCAGCAGCTAATTCTTCTATTCTTTTGTTTTTCTGTCAACTTTGATCTTTATTTCTTTATTAATATTTAAATGCAATGTCGATCGTTATCTTCTGTCTTCTTAATTCCTGTTCTTTTATTGTTCTCTTTACTAAATAATATTTTCTTTTTCACATATTCTCTCACACTCAGTGACCCCCCCCCTATGCGTCTTAGTGGCTTTATTGCCTTGCTTGGGGTGAAATGGTTAAAAAAAAAAAAAAGAGTTTTTTCGTTCATTCATTCTTCAAACATGCAACTAACTTCTGAAACCAAACACAAAATGACCACAGCAAAATGTTCTTGGAAGAACAAAGCAGAATTTCTTTCTTTTTTTAAAACCACTAATCTAAGGAAAATGAAAAAAGATGAGGTTTTGCCTTACATTAACTGCTTGTAATTTAGTTTGCTAAAATTCAGAACGAGTGATTTCATAATTCTAAAAATTTAACTGTTCTTTTTGAAGACTTAAAGCAAAAAAGACTACAAAGTGTCTAAACTATTCTATAATATAAAACAAAATGAGACTTCATATATTTACTGGTTATGCATCCTCATCTCCCTTATTTGAGATAACGCGACATTCTGTTGTTAAGGTAACAGTAAGCACTACTCAATGTCAATAAACTAGTATACTTTGTGTCACAATAACAATGGAATATCCTGTTAATAAGTAAAGGGGATCAGACTGCTGATACATTGTTTTTCATTTATTTTGTTTTGTGTTAGTTTTCTTTAGATATATATGTTTATTTTACTGATTTTTTTATTACAGTTAAGAATCGAGTCAATTAAATAGAAAAAATTGCAGATTACTCACGCATAAAATATAACCAATGCCATTGCAAAATTACTTTGCCGTCTTTTTGGGGAAATATGGGCAAACTAGTTCTGATAACATGGCAAATTGATTGAGTATACAGTTTTTAAAAGTGGCAAACGTGATTATATTTTCTATTTTATTAGTCTTTAAATTCATCATTGAGCAATAAAGAATAATTTTCAGTTCCAGGAGATATTGGGAATATTTTAAAAAGAAATGGTTTATCTATTAGATTCCAAAACCGTTACTAATAAATCCTTGCTTAAAGGTGTCTTTGGGCCATACTTGACATAATCAAACAAACTTTTAAATGGGAAGAACTAAAGATAATATCCAGTTATGTTATAAATTCTAATACCTCTGTCCCATAAAATTTGTTACATTTAGTGCATGAAATGTGTATACAAATGTACCAACTATTATGGGACAGAGGTAGTAATAAATAATTCCAATCCTAAATTGAAAGGATTGCTGCTAGTTCTCTTTAATCCTGATATGCTACAGTGTTCCCATAGAAATTGATTGCAATATATTAGACTACCTCTGTCCCATAATGATTGGTACATTTAGTGTATGATATGTGTAGGGAAATGTACCAACCATTGTGGGACAGAGGTAGTAATAAATAATTCCAATCCCAAATTGGAAGGATTGCTGCTAGTTCTAAGCTGGTTCTCTTTAATCCTGATATGCTACAGTGTTCCCATAGAAATTGATTGCCATATATTAGACTACTTGTGTCCCATAATGGTTGGTACATTTAGTGTATGAAAGTGCGCACCATACTTAACCATAAAAAAAATGGTAACTACTAAAATAAAGAATTGTGGACATCTCAGCACACCACTGCCCCAAAGACCCCTTCCAGGGTTATGAGTAAAAGAAGAAGACTTTCCTTAAGCTGTGACATTTGATAAAGATAAAGAAAACCACTTCTTGCTGCCAATGATCTTTAAATGTCACTGATATCTATATATCTATATATTCCTGTTACATCCTTTGCCAATCTTGCCCAATAAAAACCTAGAGTAGTTATTAACTTGGAAATAAAATATTCCACCTTTTAAAAGAATATATATATATATATATATATATATATATATATATATATATATATATATAATGCATTAAAAATTCCATTTCTCTGTAGCTTGAACTGATGGCCTAAGAGTGAAACTTTCCAACTGATGTCAAATCAGTCAGTTTTCGATCTAGGCTTGAAGCAATCAAGTAGTTACCAACTTGGAAATAGAATATTCCATCTTTCTGGTCCAAGTTATCAAGATAGAAAAGAAAAAAAATGATTTTGGCATCATTTTAGAAGTGAGGGTCCTATTCATAATACAGATACAGTGTCAAATGGATCCCTGACTTTTTATAGAGTTATCAGAATAAAACTGTTTTTTTACAAATGTCAAGTTTAAAACTGTGATTACGTCACTCCTATCTACACACAAAAACAGACTACATTATTTTTTTAATAATATATATATATATATATATATATAATGTTCTTTACTTAAAAGAAATATTTTTAAATATATATATATCGGATATAATGCAATGAAAATTCCCTTTCTCTGTACCATGTAATGATGGACTAAGGGTGAAAGTCTCCAACTGAAGTCAGATCAGTCGGTTTTCAATCCAGGCTTGAAGCAATCACATATCTAGAGACACTGGATGAGCTGTGATACATTGAAACAGTCTGAATATATGCTCCCCTTAGTAGGTTGAGCACTTTGGGAAAAGGGAATTTTTTATCTACTGCTGATTAATGCTAAAATCTCTTCACTATGAATTGAGCACTCTGGCAGTCAGTAATGCTTATATTGCATTTATGAAGCATTAAAAAATTCCCTTTCTTCATATATATATATATATATATATATATATATATATATATATATATATATATATATAAGTA